AGCTGGGGCCATCCCCAGGGATGGAGGGAACGTCACAAACGGCACCGAACAAAAGGGGCCGGGGCTTGGGCGGCCTCGTTCCCTTCCCATTCCCTCTCCCTTCTCCTCCTCCTCCTCCAGCTTTTCCTCCCACTCTTGTGGAGTTGCAGGGACTTTGTTCCCTGGCCCCGAGCCAGCTCCCACTAATTTACGGCTCTGTTCCCCCCACGCGGAGCTCGGCATTAATTAACGCGGCCCCAAACTAAGCCCACCCTAACCCCAAACCCAATCCCAAGCCCCTGGTGCTCCCCAAACCAGCGGGAGGAAGAGGCTGGGGAAGGAGCAGGGCCAGGCAGAGGCTGGGGCTGAGCGCCGGGGGAAAATTCCGGCGGGGAAAAATAAATAAATAAAGAAAAAAAAGAGCACCCAAAATCTGTATGACTGAAAGAGGCACGTTTAAATGCAAACTCTCCATATGTGCAAGAGTCTGTCAAGAAATGTACAATTTCACTTTTAATTACTGTCAGGGGAAAAAATAACTAAGAAGGAAAACAAAATATATAAAAAAAAAAGAGCTCCTAAACACTGGCGAAGTGTCAGCGACAGAATTTAATTGGTTATCAGGTGTGAAGGGCCCTTGGTGGCCCCCAAAGCCACCCCGTGGACATCAGGGAGCTCTGAGCAGCTCCAGCTCAAACCCCAAATCCTGCCTAAGGTGGGACAGCCACCTGCAGCCCCAAATTCCCACCTGGGTCCTCAGGGATTCCCTAAAACCTCACCCAGACCCCGATTTTGCATGGCTGGGGGAAATCAGGGGCTGAGAGTTGTGGTGACAGCAGGACTCTGCCCTGAAAGCCAAGTTTGAGCTGAATTTCCTAAGGGTGGATAAATCTTACTCCCAAAGAGGAAACAGCAGCCTGGGGATGAGGCTCCAGCCCAGCAGCTGCTTTGCAGGGAAAGAATTCCAGGGACTGGGTCCTCTCCCTCCTGGGCTGGGAATGGGGAAAAAGGGCAAAGCCAAACCCTGCACACTCACACAGACCCTTCTGCTGTGGGGTCAGCCCCAAAGCTGGGCTGGAAATGGGAAAAAGGGCAAAGCCAAACCCTGTACAGTCACACAGAGCTCAGGCTGTTCCCTCTGCTGTGGGGTCAGCCCCAAATCTGGGCTGGAAATGGGGGGAAAAGGGCAAAACCAAAGCTGCATACTCACACAGACCCCTCTGCAGTGGGGTCAGCCCCAAACCCAGGCTGGACATGGGGAAGAGGGCAAAGCCAAAGCTGCATACTCACAGACAGTCCAGGCTGTGCCTCTGCTGTGGGACCAGCCCCAAATCTGGGCTGGGAATGGGAAAAAGGCAAAGCCAAAGCTGCACACTCACACACAGTCCAGGCTGTGCCTCTGCTGTGGGACCAGCCCCAAATCTGGGCTGGAAATAGGGAAAAAGAGCAAAGCAAAACCCTGAACACTCACACACAGAGCCCAGGTTGTTCCCTCTGCTGTGGGGTCAGCCCCAAACCCCAAAGGATGGAGAGGCCAAGCCCAGGGCAGGGCCACGGGGAGAGGAAACATTGCCGGGATTTGGGATTTGGGATTTGGAGGTGTCAGGGGAGCCGCTGCCCAGATCCCATTATTCCCCCAAAGCCCTAATCCCTTTCACAATGAGCTACCCCAGAGTGGATTATTCTGCAGGGAAACACCCCGGGGAGGAGGATGGCCCTAAACTGCTCATCCCCACCCCGCTCACGGCCCGGGGCGTCGGGCTGACCCCAAATCCCACCTGGGGACAGGCACAAACCCTCCCTGGGGACAAGGACGGCCCAGCCCGAGCCTCTCTTGAGGAAATCCCATCCCCCTTTGTGGAATAGAAGACTCAAACTGTTTTTATGCTGGAGCAGGCTGCCAATTTTGTCACTAAATTTCACAGATCGATTGGCATAAATGTTACATTTTAATTTTAACATTTGAAACGTTTGGGTTTTTTTTTTTTCTAAATGACAAGAGGTTCCAGTTTATCCTTTACAGCTCCTGAAATTGGGCTCATCTGACAGCTCTCGGCTCCTCTGACAGCTCTGGATTGGGGCCGATTTCATTGTCAATTTGATCGTTAACTCGTTTTTGTTTAACCTTTTCTTTTAAAATGCCCCACACAAAGTTCCCACCGAGGCTTTGCCCACTACAACAAACAGCAGCAGCCCTGCTGAGCCCCTCCTTGAGGCCTAAGCCAGGCCTAGAGCACCCCTGGGTTTAAGGAGATTTAATTTAGTCTATTTTGCTCCTTCATTTTACTGGACCAAGAAGCTGAACCAAGGAGCTGATGGCTTTGAGGATAAAATGCCTCTTGACTCCAAGTTTTTGGGGCAAAGTGTGCCTCACTTTCCCACAAAACTGGGCTAAATTAAGCATTCCTGTTTGGATGAGGTGACAATTCAGCAGGAGAACAGGCAGGATTCTCTCCCTTCTGCCTTTGGCCATGGAGAGCACCCAAACACTCCCAAAATTCCCCAAAACAAGGAGAAATCACCCTCAGGCACAGCCTCAGGAGGTGAATTAACCCAATTTCATTCAAGGTTATTTATCTGCTTTTGAGGTTATTTATCTATCAATATATTGAGGTTATTTTGTATTAAACATCAGGTTATTGATGAATTAATCCACCCCCTATTCAAGGTTATTTATCTACTATTAAGGTTATTTTTCTATCAATATATTGAGGTTATTTTGTATTAAACATCAGGTTATTGATGAATTAACCCACCCCCTATTCAAGGTTATTTATCTACTATTGAGGTTATTTTTCTATCAATATACTGAGGTTCTTCTTTATTAAAGATCAGGTTATTGATGAATTAACCCAACCCCTATTCAAGGTTATTTATCTACTATTGAGGTTATTTTTCTATCAATATACTGAGGTTCTTCTTTATTAAACATCAGGTTATTGATCAATTAACCCAACCTCTGTTTGAGGTTATTTATCTACTATCAAGGTTATTTATCTATTAATTCATTGAGGTTATTTTGTATTAAATACCAGGTTGTTGATCAATTAACCCAACCTCTGTTTGAGGTTATTTATCTACTATCAAGGTTATTTATTTATTCATATGGAGAGGTTATTTTTTATTATCTATCAGGTTATTATGAATTAACCCAGCCTCTGTTTAATCATCTACTATTGAGGTTATTTATTTATTCATAAGGAGAGGTTATTTTGTATTAAATATCAGGTTATTGATGAATTAACCCAGCCTCTGTTTGAGGTGATTTATCCATTTAAAATCATTCCCACAATCTCCTTCAGCACCTTCATCTTTTCCCCTTCCTCTTCATCTTTGGGTTAATTAACCCAAACAAGAGCACACAGCACTGCCTGGCTGAGCTGGAGCTCCTCACATTGGGAAGAGACCCTTAAACCACAGAAATGCAAAATAAAAGTGTCCAGAAATGGAATTTTGATAGTTGCAGGAGTTTCACTTTGCCAACAACAAGTTCAGCTTTGCAGAAGGAAAGATGAAGGTACTGAAGGAGGTTGTGGGAATGATTTTAAGTGGATAAATAGCCTCAAACAGAGGTTGGATTAATTCATCAGTAACCTGATATATTTTAATACAAAATAACCTCTCCATATGAATAAATAAATAACCTCAATAGCAGCTAAATAAGCTCAAACAGAGGTTGGGTTAATTCATCAATAACCTGATAGATAACAGATAAATAACCTCAATATGTTTAAAAATAAATTACCTCAATAGTAGATAATTAACCTCAAACAGAGGCTGGGAAAATTCATCAATAACCTGATATTTAGTAAAAAATAACCTCAATATAGTGATAAAAAAATAACTTCAGTAATAAATAACCTCAAATTGGAGGGTTGTATTGATTCATCAGTAACCTGACAGATAATAGATAAATAACCTCAATATATTGTTAGAGAATTAACCTTGATAATAGATAATTAACCTCAAACAGAGGCTGGATTAATTCATCAATAATCTGATATTTAATTAAAAAATAACCTTTGTATATTGATAGAAAAATAATGTCAGTAATAGATAAATAACTTCAAATAGGGGTTGGATTGATTCATCAATAACCTAATTGATAACAGATAAATAACCTCGATATATTGATAGAAAAATAACCTCAATAATAGATAGATAAATAAATAACCTCAGAGGTTGTGTTAATTCCTAAATAATCTCATAAAATGTAGGTAAATAACCTCAATATATTAATGGATAACCCCCCTTAATAATAGATAAATACCCTCAACCAGAGCCTGGGTTAATTAATCAGTATTCTCATATAGAATAGACAAATAACCTCAATATATGAACAGATAAAGAACCTCAATAGTAGATAAATACCCTCAAATAGAGGTTGGGCTAATTCATCAATAGCCTGATAGAAAATAGATAACTATTTAGATAGATAGATAGATATAGATATACACTAATATAATAGATATACACTAATAGATAAAACCCTTTAAACAGAGGTTGGGTTAATTCATACATAACCTGATATTTAATAGATAAATACCCTCAATACATTAATAGATAAAATCCCTCAAGCAGAGGTTGGGTTAATTCATCAATAACCTGATAGATAATAGATAAATACCCTCAATGCATTAATAGATAAATGCCCTCAATACATTAATAGATAAAATCCCTCAAGCAGAGGTTGGGTTAATTCATCAATAACCTGATAGATAATAGATAAATACAATTATTTCTCAATACATTAATAGATAAAACCCCCCAATAACAGATTAAACACCCTCAAACAGAGGTTGGGTTAATTCATCAATAACCCAATAGATAATAGATAAATACCCTCAATGCATTAATAGATAAAACCCCTCAATAACAGGAAATGGGGAAGGTGGGGATGCTGTGGGAATGGCATGAGGTGCTGAGCTGGAGTGTGCAGAGCTGTGCTCAGGAATAATTTCCTGGTGCAGAATTGTGCTCAGGAATCATTTCCTGATGCAGAATCGTGCTCAGGAATAATTTCCTGGTGCAGAATTGTGCTCAGGAATCATTTCCTGGAGCCCACAACCAAATACTTACGATGGGGGTTCCAAAGGGGATGTAACCTGTGGGGGGGAAAAGAAAAATAAATGAATTAATTAGAATGAATGTCCCAGTTTAGGGACTCCTGGCACAACCAGGGACTCACTGCCACCACCCTGGGACATCCTGGAGCTCCACCTGATGCTCCAACCCACAACTGCAGGACCCTCCTGGTTTTCCCATCCTTTATTTTTGCTTTTCCAGCTCTCCCAAGTCTTTTCCTCAAGTTTTATTGAGCACCACAGAAATCAAACGTTTCACATTTCCCCTGCTGTGGCTGCCAATTCCTGTGCTAATTATAATTCATCTCCCTGACTTCCAGGGGGAGGTCTCAGAGCCTTTCCCCAATATCACTGAATGCACTTCCTGCATCCAATTTACAGCCAAAAAGGGCAAAGACCTGAGAGGAAGAAAAAATTGGGAGACAAATTCAGGACAAGGCAGCAAAGCAGAGGGTGCTGGCTTCTCCCCTCTTCACCCTCAGCATCATCCTCCAACGCACTGAGCACAAACCCTGTTCATTTCCCCAGTGCCCAAATCAGGGGATGTTGCACCCAAAACCATCGGAAAGGTCCTGTTTATTTCAATAAATCTGCTGAAAAAGCACCAGGGTTGCCCTGGCATTCCCAGAAAAGCTGCTGGGCACCTGAGCATGGTGAGGAAACCCCAAAGGGGGCTTTTAATTTAATTTTTAATCATTAACCAGCTCATTAAGGCACAGATCCTCCCTGGAATCCCAGTGCTGGGCCAATGGATATCATCACCATTGAAAAACAGGGATCATCCCATTCTTTCCTGAGGAATAAACCCCCCCAGCCCTCTCCTCCTCATCCAGTGAGGATGGATCAGGCTGCTGACCTGGACTTTACACCCCTGAAATTGTGGGCAGCAAGATTTGCTATTTAATGCAAAGTTAAAATGCTCCCAATAGTGATGGAAAGGAAAGGGAAAAGGAAAAGGGAAAAAAAGGAAAGGGGAAAAAGGAAAGGGGAAAAAGGAAAGGGGAAAGGATAAGGAAAAATGAAAACAAAAAGGAAAAAGTAAAAAGGAAACAGAACAAGGAAAAAGGAAAAGGGAAAGGGAAAGGGAAAGGGAAAGGGAAAGGGAAAGGGAAAGGGAAAGGGAAAGGGAAAAAAAGGAAACAAAAGAGGAAAAGGAAAAGGAAAAGGAAAAGGAAAAGGAAAAGGAAAAGGAAAAAGGGATAAAAAGGAAAGGGGAAAAAAGGAAAGGGGAAAAAAGGAAAGGGGAAAGGAAAGGAAAAAGGAAAATATTAAGCACTAAATCTCACAGTGGAATTTAGGATCCTCATTTTCCTCGCCTGCAAAGAGATTTTGATGTTGGAATTGCTCCCTAATCATGGTTTAAATGCTGACAAGATTCAGTTCCAAAGAGGAGAAGCCCTCCCCAGTATTTATCCAGATTCCAGGAGAATGGCAGACACAGCGTACCTGACATTCGGAAAGGCATGAAGATGGTCTCGTTGGTGTCGGGGTGGATGATGGCCTGGAAAAGTGTCACCAGAGAGCCACAGTGAGGGCACAGGGCACAGGACACAGCACAGCCACCCTCAGCTCCAAACACCTCCTGTGACCACACAGTCCCTGGAATTTCCCCATCTGGGACCCTCCTCACTTCCACCAAAGGCACCTTGGGCTCCACAAAATCCCTCCCCAGCACTGCTCTCCCCTCTCCTGCAGTAATTAATGACATTAAATGAAATATTTAAATTAATTTTAATCATTTAGGAGGAAATCATTGACCCTCAGACACACAGAGTGGCTTTTGCTTGGCTCTGTGTCCCCAAAAGCCACCCCCAGCTGCACCTGAGCCCCAGGAAAGGCAAATGAGGAGGGAAAAGGAAAATGATTTTCTGTCCCTGCCTGTCCTCAGCACCTCCATTGGGGCTGAAATTTCCCAGGTAGGAAAGGTGGGAAAGCCCTGGCTGTGGCAGAGAGATGGGGAGGATGAGGAGAAAAATCCCTTTATCCCGCAGGGGAGCAAAGGGGCCACAGGGCAAACCCCAAAACCCCCGGGGCCCAAACACAAT